TCAAGAACAAAATATCTGCATTCTTATCCAAGAGAAAACCAAAGCATTATAAGATTTTCACAGGAAGAGCAATACTTTAATTTTGGATAAACGAAAGCTGCGCAGAATTGGTTTGAGAAACTGCATAATAATTCAAAGATACTAAGCAATAAGCAGCATGAAATATCATCTGGTATTTATGAGAGTTACTGAATTAGAAATAGATTTTGAAAGTGCATTTCAAAAAACACATTTTCTATCCTAAACAGGAACTTTGGGAGACATCCTCCTAATATTGATAAATAATCTTTTGGGAACATCAAGAAAAATATGTCTTACAGGAAAATTTAAGCCTTAAGAGAATGAAGGAAACATAAATAAAATAGAAAAAAAATGACATTAGGGAATCACAAAGTACAATACAAAAGTGTACTGTACTTTCAGGGTTGTCAACATACAAATGAAGCACTCTCCTTACCATGGAAAAGTATCTCTAAGTGAGAAAACTTCTCAGAAAAAACATAACGTATCACATGTAGCACATCATAACATATGGGAACAACAGGGTTTCATTTGTTAGTAGATGCTCATTCAATTCAGTCTTTACATGCACAAACCATCTCCTCCGCAACCTTAATTCTGTTAGTCTCATTTATACTAGGATTAGCAACCTTTCTTTATGCAAGCAAAGAGCATCTAATACAATACCACAAACCTGTTAAAAACAAAAGGCAACTTTCTATCACTTATGGAAGTATGGTTATATTACCCCCACAGAAAATAAAATGTTTTCGCGTGTATAAAAAAAACAATGGAAAAATTGTACGACCCTTGTACGTGTTGCAGTATAACGCCTATTATGCAGGAATTACCAGATGCATGTTAATGAAGCCTCAAAGCATTAGAAAGCTTGATATTTGGTTCAGTAAATCTAGGAAAGTGTAAGGGCAAGCTCTGTTAAGTACAGGCTGATACTGTGTTCAAACATATACCTTACCCTTACCCTAAATTTCAGTGAGCTTTAACAGAAGCTGAACTTGAAATGATTAGCGTGGGACAGCCTTCTGCCTGGCCCATGTGAATGGAGTGGTTTCCTTTTAACCTACTCAGAATGACAGCAATAATTTCCAGTAATGCATTCTTTCGTCTAATCCATCCCTTTCAAAAGAATCATCCGAATGGTCTCCTTGAATTATGAACCAAGTTCCGATAGATCTATCCCCGAAGGAAACCCCTCCCAGTCACTGTCGTAACAGTCACAAATGTCATTATCACTGCAGCTGCAATTTTCTGCTTCACTATCACTGTACATGAACCCAACAAGGTTACGAGGCACCATTGTTCTTGGCAGAGGAGGGAAAGTTTCATCAACTACTTTGCTTTGTCGTATGTAACTGCAAAGAGAAGTGGTAGCCTATTAGCACACCCACAACTATGTTCACTTCCTACAGAGCATTCCTCTTAATCTCAGTGTGATAAGCAAATGTACATGAAGCAGTAAGAGGAAACATTCATGCTCTATCAAGACTTCTATGACTGCTAAATTATATCAAATAAAGAGAAGCTAAGGTTTATCAAAATATATTCATTTCCTTAAACCAGTCCCTTTAGTAATCTAGTCCATAGGAGAAATATATAGAGTCAATCATATATAAGGGGATATCTTAAAATAACCATACAGACAGAGCAACTTTCATTTTTAATTCCCTTTATATTCTCCATGGGCTAAATTAACTAAAATTGCATTCCCCTAAGGAAATCCAATGAAAAGATTATAGAAAAAACATGTGAGATCAGATGAAATGCATCACCACAAAAAAAAGTATATCCACACCTACATATTGGCAAAAAAAAAGCAACAGATTTATCTTAATAGTTGGTGTTCAAAAAGCCAGAAAATAATTACTTGCAAAACCCTGTTGTTCCTACATAGAAAGCATAAAATATTTACATTCAAAATAATGTTCAACAGGAACATATCAACATCTAAATCCTACATCTGAATAGGTTTACATTTCTGCTTACACCAGTGGTTATTTGTCTGTGGATGTATATCTCATAAATATGTGAGAATATATGCCATGAATTTATTTTTAACCCAATGCCAACAGGCATGGCATGTATATACATGCAATGCCATGTACAAAGACATTTCACAAAAATATAAAAAATGAGCACAGCATTTTCCCCATTTTCTATTCCTTTTCCCTGGCAGCACTGGGTTAAAATAATTTCCCTTTGTGCAAGCGTTTCTTCATACAAGCTTGTGACTGAACACATATGGGTGATACAGTTGACTGGGGCATATGACATTATCCTTATCAAAAAGTGTATTTGAAAACCTTGTTGAATGGATGACAAAAAAAATCTATCAGCTTCTAATACAAAATAATTATCAAAATATCATCTAGTGGGGAAAAAAATTATAGATTTGCGACACAACCAGCAAATTTTATTTTAAAGTTTTATTTATCTATCTATCTACTTATCATTCCCATAGCTTTATGGCTACACTAAAATTCTAAAGCAAAACATGCTAATCAAAACTTTATTTTAAAAAATGTATATAAATTTTAAAAAATCAAACTTTTACATGGAATGTTAGACAATGCTAAAAAAAAAAAAAAAACACTACTTTAGATAAGAAATGTGTTATATACTTACGAGGATTGGAATGTCTGAGTTAATTCATGCTTGAGCTCGCCTCTGTGGTTGATGGTAAATATTCGAGAAATGGGAATTCCTACAGCACGATAGGCCCACACATCCTGGAAAAGGGGAGTGGTATAAATGCAACGATCACAACTGCATTATGCAACACTGATAGTTTACACATGACTAGACTTACATTAATTGCTGGGAACCAAGAATAACTGACTAAGTTCACGAGGGACAAAAGTAACAACCTTCACCTCTACACTAATAAACCAAGTACCTGTCATTTTTTCTTCCTCCTTTTGTTATCTATATCATAACATTGAATTTGTCTCAAGACATGAATACCTATGAAAATGCATTTCCAAGGTAGTCTAAATGAAGGAAAGGGAATGGAATGGAAACACTTGGCAACTCAAATGTGCTTGTTCTCGTACATCTGGCAGTATCCGGGTTGAAATTATTACCTCTGTCCAGCACTGCACAATAATTTGGTTCAATACCTTTTGAGTTTCAGATGAATTTCACTCTGTCCAGAATCAAAGTCAGTGCAAAAGCTAATCAACTAATGTTGACTTTTCTTTCGACAAGAATATAAAGACTTTGAAAACACAAAGATAAAATTAGATAACTGTGTTAATATTCTCATAATAGTACAAAGTACCATAGAAATAAATCTTACATTGATCTTATTTCCATATCCAGAGTAGAAAGGATTTCTACCAGGTGGATACAATGCCTGGATATCCCTCAAACAAGAGATCTTGAATTCCTCTGGCTTCTTCTCAATGACTTCACGATGGAAAGCTTGCACTAGGGACGTAGGATTTAATAATAGAGGCCCATCAGGTAGTGACAAGTCTCCCTGTTTGATGGAACGGAGATAGTCCCGAGTGATACGTGCCTGTCCTGCAATAATAAATTTGAAAAATGTGATCAGTCCACCTTCAAGGTAATTACCAACTAGACTAGTGTGGCATTTTAAACACTTCCCTAAAAAGGTCATTAATTTTAATTCTACTCCCTTTGATTCTTCACAAATCCTGAGGCCACATTTTTGTTACCACATTGTAAAGAGTGCTGTGAATAAAAATCATATCCAAGATTCTTTAGCACTTAAAGTCTTTAACAGAATGGCATAGCAAATTATTTCAGTAATGAATAATGGAGGAATTTGGAACATGTGATAATGGCCTATCCTATAAGCTTCAAAATCTCAATGTAAGAATAACAAAAACAAATTAATAGGTGTATTAGTTACATCTAAATATTTGTTAATGATTAATCCCATTATATATAAATTGCAGCTTCTTAAACAATTCTCCAGATAATGAAAATCATGATGAAGATAGAAACACAACTATTTTAATAAAATTTCCTAAACAATAGAAAAGAAGAAATACTAGAAAGTGAATACAAAATGTTGACTAAATCACACTGACAGAACTTAATAAAAAAAATAAAAATACCGTAAATGTAAAAACATTCTTACCAATGGCTCTTGCAGACAGGTACAAGAAATGGTAGCCATTGTTCTTGATTTTGGTAAAGAGTTGAGCTACCCCACTTTGGGCCCAGTCCTTGCCCAAGATGGGCAGCAGATGCCCTAGCACATCAGATTTCGTTATAGTGCCATCAATATCTGATACAACAATCTTATCATCATGATTCCATAGGAAAATGTGGCACTTGCATCGTGTTGTTCCCTGATAGGCTGTTGTAACTGAGAATAGGGCTTCATTGCTTCCCTCTCTCAAGTTTAGTTTTTCCTGTAGAAAAAGAGCTTGGGTCACAATCAATTCACAAAATAAAAGACATCATTTCATTAGTTATCCAAGGCCCAAAGCCATATTTATACAAGTACATCTTATACACTTTAGGCAATATCTCTTTGAAAGCTCCCCAAAGGTAGACACTTACAATTTGTTCTGATGTCAGTCTCAAACTCTTCTTGTAGCGATCTCCAGAGGGCCTGCGGTCCTTCCTATCTTCGAGATCCTCAGACTCGGAGGAATCTGTCCCTGGGGTATGACCGTGAAGTCCCTTCTTCTTCGGAGTGCCTGGTGGGGTGGTCTGAGTCTCAGCAGCTGTAACCTCAACGAGGTTTGGATCACCGGGGTTTAGGATCTCCTCTGTCACGGATTTTTCACTGCTCTGCTAGAAACATTAACGAAATTAGAGATATACATTCCTTTTGGTAAAACAGCAGTTTTTTCTGAATTTCTGATGATCAAAAATTCTGATTTTTTTCAATGAATCAGATGCAAAGTGAACACGACAGACAATAACAGACATAAAAATATTTTTAAAACATCTAAAAAGTACCTCTAAAGAACCAGAAACTTCCTTCTTGACTGCAATATCTTCACTCTTGTTCTGAGGAGCATCAGCATCCTCTGGATTGGTGCGCCTCCAAGAGAACCAAGAGTATCCCTTCGACTCGGACCTCTTTCTGATTTCCTTCTTGGTCATGTGTTCCTTACAGAGAGCTTCTGAGAGTTTCTGTTCAAAAGGAGGGAAGGGGGGATCATATAAATTTGGAGAAATCATAAGCAGCTTTTTCTATACTCAAAGAGATATAAAAATATATATATATATATTTTGTGATCACTGCAAAGATGTCTTTCTGATTTGGCTCTATTTTTTCAATTACCAGAATGAATTAAAAAAAAAAAAAGAATTAGAGAAATCTACCTGAGGCACAGGTCGCTGGAACAACACAAGAGAGAGAATCTGTGGAGAAACAGTGCGCCAATTCAGGTACTTGCCCCCAAACCTAACGACCAGGTCGGGGTTTTCGAGAATTTGTGGATTTTCACAAAAATCATCGTAAGTGACTAGACTTTGCATAAAAAGGCTCTCTGGGAAGTCCCCTTCGTATTCATGGAGGCGGCCACAGAGCGAGAAGGCAATATCATGGTAACCCCTGGAAACAAGACGTATATAAATAGGTATTATTACAATACCAATATCATCATCAATATTACTTTTTTCTGTCCTTAAAGGGGTTAATCATCACAACCACAGACCTATTCCAAGTATTAATGTCTTTTTTTCTAATTCACTTTCCTCTAACTTCAGAAATTACTACATACTTGTAATCGAAGATGGGGTGACGGTAATCTTCAAAGTCTGAATCGCTGCACAGTTTCGGTCCCCCGATGGCTCCCTCGACACTGTGCGGAGACTGAGGCAAGGAAGGACCGTTACCTGACTCAACATCGTCATCCTTCACAGCGCTTGCTATAAAAGGAAAAACAGAAGAAAAAAACTTGGTGTTAATCATTTTCATGCTAAAAACGGGCATCTACATTATCTTAAAAAATTCAAATCTTTTATGCTCTTCGGTAAATGATTGCTTACAATATAGTCACATTTATAAGATCCAGGAATAATAAAGATTACATATATATCTAACCAGTAAAATTACAGCAACTTTGACTTTTTAAGCATGCATTAAAAATGATAAATATCGTATTTCAATATTCAAATACCAAATTTTACACCTCCGTAAGTACACTAAATTTTCTCAATACATCATACAGTACTATAATATATTTAGAAAATATGAAATAGATATCTTCTACTCCATTTTTTGAAATAAGGGCTCAGGATCTTTAATTTCCATTATATACTGTACAACATGACAACCTTGATCAACATAATTTCACATAAAACTTTGGTTTATACAGTTTGTATACTTACACCTCTCTACTCATCATACAAAAAAATATATCTGACATTTAAATTGTTAACTTTACTAATGGTAAAACTATTTCTTTCTCCATGAACTTACACTGCTAGTACACAAGCCTTGATATTATAGTATTAATCTCCTTGCATTAAAAAGGGTTAGTGTGTTATAGAGAGCACTAAACCTGACCACCTTTGTACCACATAATAGGCTGATCTACACATAGCATAAATAGACACAAATAGCCTTACAACTAGGAGAGAAGTCTTGAGCTTAAAAAAGAAAACAATCATTTAGTGAACATCATATTAAATGGAGCACTACTAAAAGAGTCTTGTTTCAGTAATCAAAGTCACCAAAACTGACAAAGCATTCATCAGAATATCCATTTGCAAACTGGAAAAATGGCTATATCTGAGCACTTAGGAATGCTTGTTAAATCCAAAGTGATGAAGTAACAATGAGAACAGCCTTATACTTCTCGTTAATCATATAAATATGTTCCACTAGACACTAAGACCTCTTACATCAGTAACTGACAGGAGAATATTGTAAATTAGGTGATTTGACACTAAGGATTATTATTCACTCTATTGTTCCTTTACTAAATGCTGAAATCATCACTGATATTATAGCATTACTATTACTGTTCACTTAATTCCAAAGACATGGATGCACACAAACGATAGTAATTAGTTAAAACCTCATTCATGCTTTTTAGCTAAAATAGCCAAATAATTTACATGCTCTGGGAGTTAACACTCAACCCCAATTTTCCAACACGTCATAATCAATAATTCTTAAATTATCAATGAAGTCCGGGTTAGTATGCGGGAAAAATACACCCCGATACAGGTCAAACTCCCACGCCCACAACTCGGCCTAAGAGCGAAAGCACATTACGAACTACTTGGATAAGTAAGTCATACCAGAGGAGAAGCTGTTGTAGCCCGGCTTTTCTGGAACCTTGAAGTTACGGGGGAAATACAGTGCTGCCACTTCTGGGTCTAGTTCCTCCAGATTCAGGTCATCAAGGTAGATGCCCTCACTCTCTGGATTGTGACGAGCTTTCTTGGTAGCCCGCATGAAGCTAAACATACTGCCCAACACAGACCGCTCATCATCTAGGGGGGGAAACAAGCCCAGACATGCTACAAGGTGTCCTTGGAAACCGACTCTTCGAGAGATGGATCAAGCAAAAAAAAAATAAAAAAAAATAATAATAATAACAATCGGTACTTGCACAAATTGTTAAAATTGACTTTGCAATCACTCCCAGGAAGATAACGCTATCCATCTCATTAGGAATCGGTTTTCAACAATAAAAAGTACCCAAGTTATATAGGATGACAAGGTAAACATACTGATCCCAACACAAAGCATCTACTCCGTAAATAAATTCCTATATCATATTTGACTAAGTTTCGTCTATCAGTCTCAGCAACCATATTTAATATGTAAGCATGTAATTAATATTTTTAAGAAGCCTCACCCAACACCGCTGATTTGTTTTTTACACTTCTTAAAAGTAGGTTTCAGTGATGCTCATTATGCTTAAATATTTTTTAGGGCAAGACTGTGTAAACCAAAACCTTACATGAATACTTCAAAGACTTACTTACTCTTAACTACTTAAAAAATTACATCATAGTTCGCCACAAATCCACAGCAGTAAACAAGATCCAGAAAAGAGTCACTTTCTGAATTTACTTGCATGAACAGGTGCCCAAAAAATAACAAGCATAATGAGCAACAATTCTCAACTATCATTCCTTTTCTTGCAATAATAATTATTGTCGGACAAGAACTTCTTATATCTGCATCTTATATTCAATCTTACCAACAATACTTAGCCTACAAGACATTGATACAAATGAAAAAGTAGATAAAATACTATTCCCATATCTCCCCTTTAAAAGCAGACATCCAAGCTACTACTTACCATCTCCTTTCGACGATTTCTTCATATCGCTATCGCTCTTCATCTCCGAGGAATCCGCAGCTGAGGAGGACGTGCGCGTTGGGGTCTTCGGAGGCGGTGTGGGAAGTTCTCCCCAGGTCCAGGACCACTTGTTCTCGTCCGTCTGCGAGGAGCCGTCGATGAAGTCCGTCCGCTGTCTCTCGACCTCGTACTCGGTGTCAGACTTGATTGGTGTTGGGGGTCTTGAACTCGATGGGCTAAAAGGGGTATTACCAACTTTAAACATATAAAAAGGAAAGAGTACAACACGTACAGCTAAATATAAACAACTAAAACCACATATCAAAAAATAGGAACAGTTCTGAATTCAAGTTATCTCTGAACTACTAATGTCTACCTTGGTGGAGGGCTAAGGTCGGTATCACTGAATGGATGGAAGTCAGGTCCCATGGATCGGGACATGGAGCCACTCCATTCGTCGACCACTTCCTCCCGGGACTTCTCACGCAGCAACGGCATCGAAGACGACTGCGCCATGTGGGAGGTGGGAGTAGACGTGCTTGGACCAGACTGATAGAAAATTGAAATAAATGCTGCTTAAGAGAATTTCAGGTATATCAACATCTAGACAACAAATAAAGAAGAATCAAAATAAGAATATAAGGTGGGTTAGTATCGAAACTAGACACAGATCTTCTTGGATGGCGCTTCAACTCAGTATTCGAAAGTACCAATACAAAAATATAACAAAATGCAAAAAAAAAAAAAAAATTATCAAGTGCCACCAAAAAGATATGAACACATCAAGTTTCAATGTTTCACCCAAACCAAAAGAAAACAAAAGGCAGATAATGCAAAATGAAAATTAGATCAGTCTATCCCTATTCACTTAGAAATAGGTCAAGCAGCAACAGAAAATTCACAGCTTAAAGAACAAAACTAAACAAAAATCTAAGCGGGGAGGTAGGGGGTGAAAAACTCGGCAAAGCTCTCAAATGAATGGCTCACATACCTTCTCATTATTCTCAATATCATCCATTACAAAAATTCCATCTTGATTCCCTGGTGATCCACCACTGGGTAACACGGCATTGATATCTGCAACCTCGCTTGTTGTCGATGTGTCGCTCGACTGGCTCCCGGTGCTCTTGGGGCGGCTCTTCTTTCCATTACAACGCTTCTTGCGCTTGCGGCGGATGCTCTTGTTCACTAAGGGCAAAAATAGGAGAAATAAGTCTCAAAGATAGTGGCACATTACAAGCTAAATGAAAATCATGCTTCCAATAAAAAACAAACCACATAATTGTACTGCATTTACAAAACTATCTGAGCATAAACGGCATGAACTTACATCTGACGGTTTCTTCTCCATCGGTTTTGCTTCCCTGGCCATCCATGATTAAACTATTGCGTTTCTGAACAGCACCATCACCAACTTGTGACTTCGAGTTGGGTCCCTTCCCTTGGATGTTGACTTCTACCTTCTTGTTACTATTTGTTAAGTTATTATTGTTAATAGTCTGAGTCCCATGGTCTCTTCTCTCTACTTTGGCGTCCGTTTTACGGATAATTCTGACAATGCCAATCTCACTCTTGGGGTCCTCCGATAATTTCACACTGACGATTTTGACACCATCTCCAATGTCGGTCAAGTGCGATACGGTGGAATCTTGATCTCCTGCCGTTTCCGTCTCTGGCGAGGCCGTGACCGCGAGATCACCTGCCACCGTCGACTGGCCAACAGACGAGGAAATGGACTCATCAACTCCAGAATCCCTGGGTCTCGAGTCCTCATCCTCTGCTCTGGCGAGATCGAGTTTCTCCTGGAGGAAGGATGGTGGAAGAGGCGAGGTGCCAAGGAGGGGACTAATTTCCTCACTGTCCTCGAGTTCTTGGACGAAGAAGGCTTCTCCCGACTCCCCTAGCTTCATGTGTATGTCCACGGGCTCTCCATTGATTTCAATATCAACCTGAGAAGAGAAAATTGCAATATAAATATCAAGGTTGCTTTTGAAAGTAATATATGCGGGTAAAAGTTAAAAGTGCATTCCATTCCCCCCTTTATTTAGCTTCCCACATAAATTTATTCTAAAAACCATTTGCATTACTAAGAAAAAGAAAAAAAAAAAAGGAAATTGAGACAACAGAACCGATTCTTAAACCAATTTCAACAAATTTACCAAATTTTCTAAAAAATAATTCAGCAGTGCAGGATATATCTTCCCTATCTTCACTCCATTTCAGTTTCTATTACAAAATAAGTACTTTGGAAATACACACACTTGTTTGGAATGCTATCAACTTCTTTTTCCTTTTTTTTTTTATTATATTCTCTATTTTCTTTTTTTAACTTTTGGATATCTATGAAAACTTTATCTACAAAAATAGGTATCAATAAATCAATATCAATTATCAATAAATAAACAATGTAAAAATAAGGAAAATCAGGTTAGATTTCTTTCTTTATCAGAATTTACTGAATTTATCCTTCCCCATAAAAAAATATATAGGTATATACATCTTTTTTCTCTCCCTCTATCTCCTTCTCTCTCTTTTTCTCTTTCTCTTTCTCTTTCTCTCTCTCTCTCTTTCAGTGAGGTAAATCCCCCCATACAACTGGACTTACGGGAACATGTTCACCCTTCAAAAATGTTCAAAAAGCACCAACGCGTCAAAATTCCAAAAGCTACATTTCTGGTCGATGTGAATGAAAAAGCGTCCCCCTTGGCACGAATCCTTTACTTAACCTCTACATAAGTAGCTTAAGGTCAAGGTTTCTATAGTACAGGGCTTCACTAGAGCCAAGAAAAGTAAGACATTCGTGTGCAGTAATACTAAACTTGACAGTAAATAAGGCTTCTTCATTTTGCTGAGCAGAACAAAGGCAAACCCTAGATCTACTTCCCTAATACATGTACTAATCCAATTTGTGTGAAAGGGGGAGAGAAAAACACAAACAAACAAGAAGGCAGCAGCAAAAAAAATAAATAGAATAAAATGTAAGCACAACTACAAACAGAACACAATGAAGGCCATCATTACAAATAGGATACATTCCCCTCCTGACAAATTTTGCATATATCTACCTCTACACCTTCCCATTCATTCCACCCTGGGAAACGCAGCAGACACCGGTTCTCATCTAGACCCTCCTCGTCTTTTTAGTGAATGAATACTTTGAGCGAATTACTTTCTAAAGGTCCTCCCTCCCTAACTCCCTCCCTTTCCCCTTCACTCCCTTCCTTTCTCCCATCCCCCCTTCCTTCCTTTCTCCCCTCTATCTCCCTCCCTTTCTCCTCTCTCCTTCCCTTTCTCCCCACTCCCTCCCTCTCACCCATCCCCCCTCTCTTTCTCCCCTCTCCCATCCCCCTCCCTCCCTCCCTTCCTTTCATCCAACAGAAGGCGCCGCAGCATTAAGTGACGTCATTCGTAGGGTCCGACCCCAGGGACGAGAACCGGGCAGGTGTTTCATAGGGGGGGGGGGCCTCGGAGGCGCTGACGACGACGATGACTCATGCTTGCCCAAATCATTCAAGTATTCAAGGCTCTACATTAGTCCCGCATGCATTCATCCCGGTTTAACTGTTGCGTTTATGAAATGCCGCGCAAAACTGAATTAAGCAAGTAATTACGTGTGATACCGGTCAGGCAAGTTTTTTTTTTTTCCTTCTTTCTTTCTTTTTTTCTTGTTTCTTTGCTGTTCCGACCGGCATTCACATTTTCTCTCTTGCATGTGACCGTATATACTAGACTGGGAAGCCGTTCAGAAAAAAATTAAACAACTTTTAATACAACTTTATATATTTTAATTGAATAACAATCTCTATATCGTCGAGCTGCCATCACCGCTAAATATAGGACCATTGTATAGAAGCAAGTCAGCGTGCAAACTCTCGAGAAGATTATCGGGGAGGGAGCAGACATTCAGACAAGAAGGCGTGCATTTTTTTCATCTGCCGTCCGGGTCGACCTCACTTCACCTTACATAAAATATAAAATATACAAGTACAAAAGACATGAAGCGCTCATACACTGATCTAGCATTATCAACACTGACGAGAAATAATAAAAACCTCAATGCCTTAAATAAAACACGTAATAAAACAGTGACGAAATATAACCGAACGAATAAGCCGTAACGCAAAATCAAACGGCTTCGGGCAAAATTTCACAAAATCCGGTCTAGGAAGATCTTGAGCCAGAACGACGTATTAAAAAGGGTTTGAAACCTGGCTCGAAACCGGGTTGGGAAGCGAGTGCGGTGTGCTATGGCCGAGTTCCTAATGACATTACGAAACCAAAACGATACGCATGATGGAAGAGACTTTTTTTTTTTTTTACCACGTGCTCATGGGAAACTCGGACTAATGAACCTGTGCTCCATATCGATTTATTATTATGCACCCCATATGTTGTGAAGCTTTAATACCATGTCTCTTTTAAGGGGTTATATGAACAGGCCTAACGGAGGAGATGCTGGCCTCATCCCGGCAGTGACAAATGGTAATGATCTCTGACGAAAGCAATGATGCTCTCTCGCGCGCCCGGGTGTCGAATTGCATCGCGTGCATTCAACGCTCCCCAGAAACGCCCACTACGGATTTCATACTACGATTTACGTTACTTTCACTTATCGTCACTTTGCCATCGCGCGAGACGGCGATATAAATAGCGCAGAGGAAAGGGGAGTAGAAAAAAATACTGATAAACTAAAATAAACTCCCAAATAAAACAACTGACATGCATTGCTCTTGGAGAGTTAATGACCGCAAATGACTCAGGAAAGTACGTAGGGCGTGCCTGCACCATTCATGGAAGTTCAGGCGTGACTCAGACCGCGGTAGGGGATTCACACACGAGAAAGGGGAAGGGAGGGGGCACGGGAAGGCATCACGTCACTTGGCAATATGGCAACATCGCGTATCAGGGAAGGCAGTGCGCCTACGTAATGAGCGCTGAAAGTGTTGCCGCTCAGGGTGGAGCACATGAGGCGCACGGTTTGAAACGGAGAGCGATAAACTTCAGCGAGAAACTTCAGCGAGAGACCGAAGTGCCGCGAAGGAGATAGGATACATACGAAGAAAAGACGAATGGGGATGTAAAGAAAATGCACAATGCACCGCCCTAGACAAAAGGAGGCAACGGGCGAGGAAGGAACCAGGTGCAAGTGATGTAGTAAAGGGCGGAGAAGGGTATTGGGCGGTAAAACGCGAGATCACGTGACCGGACCGACCCGTCCCAAACCAGTCCCAACTGCTCTCGCAACCTTCTCGCTCTCCTCCTCCCCCTCCTCCTCCTCCTCCTCTCTTCTCCCTTCTGATTCATGCTTTAAGTCTTCCCCAACCGCTTCGCTGTATCATAAAAAAAGGTCTACTTCCCCTCCCATAGCGTCGGTTTATATTAGGCTACGACGAGAGCAGACACCCGGCAGCCATACCGAGGAAGGAAAACCACAGCCGAACAGGACGCGTCTCGCTCGCTCGCGCGGCACAATGCGGCCGATTCGAAATATCTACGACATTATTGAAATATTCGAATCCTGTATCGTCCCACCCTATCTAGTCTTTTTCAACAGACTTTAAAAAAACACACACTGGGAACCGAACCTGACAGACGAAGATAAGGCGTACATTTCTAACAATTATGATAATGGAAACACCACTGGGGGCGTATTGACCTTCGTACTGTAGTAAACATCGGCAGCTGTTGACCTCCAAAATGTCGCTCTCCTCTCCCCTTCTCCCCCCCTCCTCTCCCCTTCTCTCCCCCTCATTCTCTCTACACTATTCTTAGTCTTCCATCCGATTATAAATAACACGAGTATATTAGGGGGAGGGGGGAGGGGAATAAACACATACAAGCGGATAGATAAATAGACAAATAGATAAACTGTCACACCTCTTGAAGATTCCTACCTCCGACCTTTTACCTGCCTGAGTTACAGTCAATTATTAAGTACAGACCACACCCCGATTCCTCCTCCCCCCTTACCCCACTCTACCCCACCCTGCCCCACCCCCATCCCACTTATCCCCACCTCCGTCATCCCCTCATACATCGGCGTTTACTCTTTCTCTCCCTACATACGAACCCGTCCTGTAGCATCTACTGTGACCTTCCTCTCTCTCTCTCTCTCCTTCTCCTTCTCCTTCTCCTTCCCCTTCCCCTCCCCCCTCCCCCTCCCCCCTCCCTTTCTCTCTCTCTCTCTCTCTCTCTCTCTCTCTCTCTCTCTCTCTCTCTCTCTCTCTCTCTCTCTCTCTCTCTCTCTCTCTCTCTCTCTCTCTCTCTCTCCTGTAAACACACGGACGCTGACCCAGAACTGTAACTTTCCCGATATAGGTCATCCGGAGTTCGGTCCTGAGGGTCAAAGCCTTCGGACAATATTAGAGGTCATGGCGCTCGTGAGTGAGTGAGTGAGTGCGTGGTGGAAAAGAGAGGGAAGGCGAAGAGGAGAGGAGAGGAGAGGAGAGAAGAGAAGAGAAGAGAAGAGAAGAGAAGAGAAGAGAAGAGAAGAGAGAGAGAAGAGAAGAGAAGAGGAGAGAAGAGGAGAGAAGAGGAGAGAAGAGGAGAGGAGAGAAGAGGAGAGAAGGGAAGGGAAGGGAAGGGAAGGGAAGGGAAGGGAAGGGAAGGGAAGGGAAGGGAAGGGAAGGGAAGGGAAGGGAAGAGAAGAGAAGAGAAGAGAAGAGAAGAGAAGAGAAGAGAAGAGAAGAGAAGAGAAGAGAAGAGAAGAGAGGGGAGAAAAGAGAAAGAGGAAGAGAAAAAGAGAAAAAGATGAAAACAGAAAAAGAGAAGAGAGAACCCACCCAGATAACACCTAACAAAGAACGTCTCCCACTAATACCAGACACCCATTCAGCGTGACCAGAAAGTCCGTTTTCTCCAACGAACCCGGTCTTCTGCCCATGAACGCGTCACACCCACACCCACCATCAACTCCGGGTATTATAAACGAGTGTGTAGTCTGCACAGC